GTCCTGATGGAGACTGTAGGCTGGGGCCGTGTGAGGTGAGTAGGGGTGTCACAGGAGGGGAGGTGGGACAGGGGATGGCCAAGCGTGCCCCATGCCGGCAGCCTCCAAACTAGAGATGGCCAAGGAAAGGCAGAACCACAACCTGTGTGACTGAGACTCTCCAGCACGTGAATTCTCCGACAGGTGAAGTTATTTTAACACTCCCTTTCCATAAGTGAGCTGTCTTCAATTGTAAAAGTCAAGGGTTTGCTCTGTAAGAGAACAAGAGAGGAAGGAAAAGAGAAAAAAGAAAGGGAGGAAAGGAGGAAGAATCGAGCAGACTGTGGGGGAATAAACCCAGTTCACCAGTTCTAACCTAGGCTTCTGCAAGGGCAGGAGAGAAAAATGGATTCTTTTCTGAAACAGTGTGAAAGAAAAAGAATTCCCCTAATTATTTTGAGACACACATACACAGGCCCATATACACACAGGCACACACAGACACACACACAAGTACACACAGGTACACACAGGCAGACACATACTGCAATGCAGATGTGTGTATCCATGCTAAGAATCCGCCACAAAGGAAAACACCAACAGTGACAGGACTTTGTGGGAGGCAGGCAGGCATAACAGCCCTGCAGAGGAGATGCCAGATTCAGATGCTGGTGATGAAGGAGGACATTGAGGCAGCAGTGTTTTGTGGACAAGGGTGCATTTCTTTCACATGTTTACCACACACGTACCTGCAGTCCACCAGCAGCACTGAATGGAAACCATGATTGAATCTCCATATTTTGTGGAGAAATATACAAGACAGACATAATCCCTAATCTCAGGTAATTTGTAGTCTACATAAGGAGAGCCACCCGCCCAATCACAAAACACTCCAATGGTTTAGGAGACAAAGCAAGTGGAAAGGAAATCTCCAAGTGGGAGGAACAAGGAACCCTTTGCAGGTAAGTGCAAATGTCAACTGCATGATTCTTTTGCAAAACTATTTTGCAAAACCATCTTGCTTAGGAGGAAAGGAAGAGTGCTAACATTCACTACATATCTTCTATGGGAAAGCACAAGCTCCCAGTTTTTTTTATTCAACCCTCTCACAATAGTCATGTGAAATAGGCATGATGATCCCATTTTAGAGAGGTAAGCAGAGGCTTGGGTTTATGGAAAAACTGATGTCATCAGCGGCTGGTAGCCAAATGGCTCATTCCTCCTTCAGACCCTCTCCCAGGTACTGCTTACGTATAAACCACTGAATGCTCTCAGTAGTCCGTATTTGAGATGAGGGCTTGGGTAAGCTTCCCACGCCAGGGGGCTGGGAGACAGCTGAGGCCTGCACCCAGGCAGCCTGATGCAGAGGCTGCACCCTAGAACACAGAGCTCTAACTGGGCAAACCAGCAAAGGACATCCAACTGACCAGGATTTTAATCATGTGAGCTGTTGTTCTTATTTGCCCTGGTGGAGGGGGAGGCAAGGGAGAGGACAACAACTGAAAGGAAAGTGACCACAATACTCGAAGCGACCAAGAGATCTCCAAAAGAGGAGAAAAAGTGGTGGGGGGAGGGCGGCAGGGGAAGATTTTTATAGTCCTTCTGCTGTGCTGCCTAAATCTAACAGGGTCTCTGGATTTGCAAGCTGCCTTGTTGGTACAAGGGGGGTTAAGTGTTCAGCCTTGAGCAGGGGGGTGAAGTGTTCAGCCTTGAGTGGGGGCTTGAGCATTTGGACTTGAAGCAAACAGGTTAGATAGAGAACCAGACAGAGGGACTTTGAGGGGCCAGGCCACCCTGTAGCTAACTTTGTTTGGCATGCCCTGCAGACAACTTAGTTCAGCCTGTCCTGCACCTAACAATAACTAACATGGGGAGCGCTCCACCGCTGAGAATCTCACCACTGGTGCTAGTGCCCTGCAGGTGACATCCATGGGAAGGGTTGCTACTGCCACCTAGAGGGCAGAGTCTGGGATGCTGCTAAATATTGTGCACCCAGTGGCAAGGAATTAGCCAGCCTGAGGTGCTCCTCATGCTGAGGTAGAGGACTTCAGATGTGGCCTGCAAGGTCCAGAGCTGTTGGCCAAGGTTCAGAGCTATACTGTTACCAATAAAATAGGGATGTGGGACCAGGTTCCTTCCCGATGCTAAATCCAATGCTTCTGAGACACTAAAGACAGAAAACAAGCTGTGCCTAAAACAAGGACATGAGAAAATTCTCTTTAGGGGAACTTTCTAAATGTACCTGAGACCATTTTTATTCAGGTCAGGTAAGGCACTGCCTGGAAAGATGACTTTGATTCACAGTTCCCAAGAGGAGTGAGCATGCCACTCCGAGGCAGCAGGGTTGATCCCCCGAGAGGCAGAGTGTGGAATAGGCAAAGCTTTTTTTGGGTATTTTGTGGGATGCAACAGGCAAAGGAGGGCTAGCAATGGCACAAGCTTCAGATTGCATAGTTTGAATGATTCTGACACACTCTGGGCTATGGGGTGGTCTCTAGTTGCCCAGGACCTTGTCCTGGGGCTATCCAGGACAGGATAGTGGCCCAAATTGTAGGAGCCTGGCACAGGCAGGTGGTGAGGGGCACAAGCTCCAGTTGAATGGTCTACATATCAGAGGCAGCTGATGGGCCAGTTGTTCCCCATGACCAGGAATCAGCCAGTCCTGGAAGATGTAGGCTCTAGACTCTTGAGACTCTAAGATGCACTACAAAATATAGAAAATAGAAGCAGTATGTTCCATCTTCACTAGGAGCCTGGTATGGAACACTTGGGTTTAACGGTGGCAATTCTGTGCTCAGCTTTGGGAGGGGACTATGGGACCCTGGGATAATCAAGCTCTGAACTTGCTTGAGTCAGATCTGACACCTGTGCACCCAGGACCAACAAGCAGCCTGGGTCTGGTAGTTCAAGGCTATAGAGAAGGGGGAATTCCTGCTACAGCAGGAAGAGCAGGAAGCCCCTTGGGGACAATGGCTCCTGCAGTGGCTCCTAGCTGTCCAACTGTAGGCAAGGAAGATCCCAGCCTTAGCATGTAAGATGAGTGCAGCAGTCTAGTTAGTGGGTCCCCACTCAGGCCCACCACAGCAGCCTGGAAGCCCAGTCTCAGGAATTAGATTCCCTGGTGGACCCCAGGGCCCTGCTGGCATGCAGGATTGTCACATCTCTGGTGTGCCTCCAAGACACCGTGCTTCCCTCCCTCCAGCTGGTCCACCAGTTCCAGCCTCTGTCATAGCCTCAGCTCCTTTATAGAACCCTGCAGCTCATCTCACTCCCCCCCATCCCTCTATTGAGTCATCTGCTGTAGACCCAAGCTAGAGCTCAAGCATGCCCTGGGACTCAGGGTGCTGGGACCAGGGTTCCTACAGGCACGGTGGCCCAGGGCTTTGCCAGCAGAGCAGGGGTTTACCAACTCTCTATGACCTCACCTCTGGTTCCCCTCCTGCCTGCCTCCTGGGAGATGCCTGCAGGCAGCCTTACCACCATAGCTGAGCCTGATGTTCCTTGTGATGTGACTCCACCTGAATGATCTTTATTTAAAATTTATAAAGGCTATTCTTACAAAGACAACCCTCAGTTATCATGGAACTATTGAAATAAGGAGAAAGCACAATTGATTGAGGATGAGAACATACTGCCCAAAGCCTACATAAAAACACCCCCTGCACCCAAGCACAATGCCAACCCAGGACTCCTGGGGGACAAGACAGCTGGAGGACCTGGCACAGCACAGCTGTGCAGCTGTGGAGACCACTTTTTCACCAGACCTGGGCACACAGCCATATCCAAGGGAAATGTCTCACATGGATCCCCACATAAATGAGAATTCTGAACCATATAACTTGCATATTTGTGGTTGTAGTCATCAGGTTAGTCGAAAGTAAAAGTCTTTAAAATCTTTCCCCACGCGCATTTGCTTTTCTATTTACTTGGGATTAAAAATATTAACTATGCACATTTTATTAAACATGGGGCACTGTAACGTGCTGTCCCTCTCCTGACTCTCTGAGATGGAGACTTACACCACTGGTTTCTAGCATGTCCTCTCTTCCAGAATGCACATGTGGTGCTAAAGTTTCCCTCTGGACACTGCTCTGGCCGCGTGCCGGGCCTTTTGTAGTCATTTTCCATTGTGAAGGAGTGTCCACCCACACAATGGAGACTCCTTGTGTCCAAGAACCTGTGAATACCTTCTGCTGCCCCCTTGGGCTCCCGTGCTGTCCTGCTACCTTTACCTCCACCTTTCCCTCCCTGAGTGAAGGCACCTGCTGGGTCCTTGGTGAGCTGGCTCCCTTTCCCCTAACAGGGAGGCGCGGCAGGAGGCAGGCAGAGGACCCTGGAACCTCTCCTCCATCCCAGGCTTTGTCCTCACCAGCCTTTTTGACGAGAGCCAAATGCACCTGTTCCTGTTCAGCCTGGTGGTGCTCATCTACATCCTCGCCATGGCTGGCAACATGGCCATGGTGCTGCTGATCTGGGCTGAGGCCCGGCTGCACACGCCCATGTACTTCCTCCTCAGCCAGCTGTCCTTCCTGGACATCTTCTTCACGTCAGTCACTGTCCCCAAGATGATAGTGGGTTTCCTCTTCGGCTGGACAAGCATCTCCTTCGGGGGCTGTGGGGCACAGATGTTTTTCTTCATGTTCCTGGGAGCTGCCGAGTGCCTCCTGCTGGCCCTCATGGCCTACGACCGCTATGTGGCCATCTGCAACCCTCTGCACTACCCGGTGCTCATGAGCCGCCGCGTCTGCCTGCTCATGGTCGCAGCCTCCTGGCTGGGAGGGTCCCTCAATGCCTCCATTCAAACCTCACTGACCCTTCAGTTCCCCTACTGTGGCTCTTGGAAGATTTCCCACTTCTTCTGCGAAGTGCCCTCGCTGCTGACGTTGGCCTGTGCGGACACAGAGACCTATGAGCAGGTGCTCTTTGTGACCGGTGTGGTGGTCCTCCTGGTGCCCATCACCTTCATCACCACCTCCTATGCCCTCATCCTGGTGGCTGTGCTCCGGATGCACTCCGTGGAGGGACGTCGGAAGGCCCTGGCCACCTGTTCCTCCCACCTGACAGTTGTCAACCTCTTCTATGGGCCCCTGGTCTACACCTACATGCTACCTGCAACCTACCACTCTCCTGGCCAGGATGACGTGGTGTCTGTCTTCTATACGGTCCTCACACCCATGCTTAATCCTGTCATCTATAGCCTGAGGAACAAGGAAGTGACTGGGGCCATGAAGAAGGTCATAGCAAGGTGTGGAGTCTGCAGGAATGCCTGAGACCCAGCAGAGACAGGGTGGCAAGTCGGAGCCCTTAGTCCAGTTGTATGCACCGAGGCAGAGGCAGAGGTGCTGACCAAGTGGGAAGGTCCTTGGTGTCTAGGACCCCAGGATCTTATTTCTGAGATTCCCTTCTGAGACAAGAGTTACACAGACAAGTGAGAGGAGAAGCCCCTCATTCCCCAGCTGCTAGGCTTTCCCCTTCAGAGAACTGTGTGGTCAATCCTTCCCACTCCCTGCCACCTCAACAAACTCCAACTGGGGCTTCTTGTTAAGGCTTCCTTTGTGGGTGTAGCAACAACCCAGAGTCTCAGTGTCACTGGAGGTCTGAGTCTTCCCTTCCCACCTGCCATAGAAGCCAAAGGCCCCACAGAGCCCGCTGCCCCAGGCATCTCCCCACTCCTCTGCACTGCCCTCCCCCTCACCCCTGTGGCCACACTGCCCGCACTGCTCTAACCCCCAGGCCCCCTTCACCAGGCACCCTGCCTGGGGCTTCCTCCCATTGTCCCAGCCACTTCCTCCACTGCCTTCAGAAGCTGCCCCAGTGCCGGATCCCTCTGCCCGAGCAGCACCCACCTGCACCCACACCTCCTAACCCCAGGTGTGTTCCACGTTCCTTTTTCCCCTTAGCACAGCAGGTCAGGCCAGCAGAGGCTAAGATTTATCAGTGACCTATTCTCAGTTCTGGAAGACACCTGGCACATGGATTGGTTAATAAACACTGCTGGATGAAGGGATGAGCTTAGAGGACATTTACTACCTCACCCCAGCGCTGGTTCCATCCAGCTCCCACTTCTCGAAAACGCTTTCTCCCTCCCTCGGCACTTGCCCTCCTCCCTGGGGCCCACTCCTTCCCCATGAGTGTGAAGGTGCTGGGTCTGTACAAGGCCCTTCCCACACTCTCTTCTGGCACTCCTGCTCAAGGACATGGCCTTGTTTACCATCTGACACCAAAGTCGGCCATACGTATTCACAGGCCTGCCAGACGTCTCCTGAGCTCCTCACCCACACCCAATGCCCCTCCGCATGTTACAAAGGCACCCCAAGTTTGTCATGCCAGGGGACAGTCATGGCCACAGACCCCTTACCTGGAGGATGCAGGAAATTCCACCAGGTCTCACTGTCCTTTCTCACACTGCCCTCCTAACTCACCTGCGGCTTGTTCCCAAGGTTTAGCCTACAGGATCTCTAAATGCAAACACATGAACAAATCCCATTCCTCCACCTCAAACTCCTTGGCAATTCCACTGCTCCTACCTGGTCACCTCCTAACAGATCACATGTCAGTTCCTTATATTGCTTACTGCCTGTCTTCATGACAATGTAAGCTCCCTGAAAAGAGATCTGTGGTTCTTAAAAACACGGAAGAACAACAACATGAAACTCTTGAAGCAAAACATCTTTTTCTCTGTCCAGAAAGCCCTGTAGCTCCCAGCCTCCCTGGGCTCCCCTCAGTTCCTTGTTCTCTCCCCTACTCCCTCTCATTTCCAGGTCACCAGCAGAGCAGGGCATTCTTGCACCTGAGGTGCTGCTGGCTCACTGTGTTGGGTGAACCCCTGCACGTCTTTCCTTCCTCAGCAGAGGTACTATGTCTTCAGGGAGCCTTCCCCGGTGTCCCAGCTGATGAACATTCACACAACTGAATATTATTCAGCCATAAAAATAATGCAGTATTGTTACAAACTACAGCAACTTTCAAGGATGAACCTTCAAAGCATTCTATGGAGTGAAAATCAAATGTGAAATACTAGAAACGGTAGTGGTCAATTTGTACCCAATGTCCAGAACAGGCAAATCCATAGAGAAAGTCATTAATGGCTTCTGGAGGTCTGGGAAGGGAGAAACCTGCCCAGGTTTCATTTTGGGGGTGAAGAAAAATGGTGGCTGCACCACATTGTGAAATTTATAGATGCCACTGGAGTATGGGTATTGAGATGGTGAATTTTATGCAAGGTGTATTGTGCTACAATAAACCTTTTGCAATACTTCATGCTCCGTTTAATCCTCACAGCTGCTGCTGACACACAACCTCTAACTCCAAAACCTAAAACATTGTCACTGTGTCTAAATGAGGACTCCACCATGAATTAATTGTTCATTATGAGACTAAACCAGAGGACCACCTCACCCAGACTCCCTCTCTAGCACTTTTCCCTTGCTCCAGATCTTACGTGGACTCCCCAGGCCTAGAGAAGGCTTGACCCATTTCAGCTGCAAGCCCCCTCCTTGCCAACAGCATGTCAAAGCTGACTTTCACTCCAGCCACATGGGCACTGCACCTTCAAGTGCCTGCAGCTCCATTGGACTGGACCTTCATGGGCTGGTGAATCTACTACAAAAAAATAGTGTGATGTAGAGTAGATGATGATGATGATGATTGTAATCCATAAATTAACGATTTAAGTGTACAATACAGTAGTGTTAACTGTATGTTCATTTTTGTTCAACAAAGATCTCTAAATATTTTTCATTTTGCAATTCCCATTCCCCTTCTCCCCCAGGGCCTGGTAGTTATGGTTCACTTCAAATGCCTCATATAAGGGAATCGTGCAGGGTTGTTCCTGTGACTTGCTTATTTCTCACGGAAAAATATCCTCAAAGTTCATCAGTGTTACAGCCTATGGTAAGAGATCCTTCTACTTTAAGGCTGATGTATAGTCCACATTCTCCTTATCCACTCATCCGTCCACTGATCCATATTTAGAATGCTTCCAAAAAAGAGTAGTGTTTTTGCAGCTGAAAAAGCAAGGCCTCAGAACAGCAATGGGGAAGCTGGAAGACTTTATAACCAAGACTTTATAACTTCACGGGCAGAAGGAATCCTTCATTCATTCAGCACATACTAACAGTGTGTTCACGTCCAAGGCACTGGGCTAGTGACTCCTGGGGACACACAGATCATGCACATGCACAAGGCCCCCGTTCTCCCAAAGCTCAAGAAGGGCGGAAGTGTTGGAAATCATCATGAACTTCCAGGGCTGCTCCAGGTGCACGGCTGCTAGGAAGAAACGTCCGGGAGGCCAGAACTTCCCGTGGGGAATGAAGCACAAGGCCATGCTCCCTCTGGGGGTGCTCACAGTAGGAAAGAGGGGCCGCGCACAGGAGCACACCTCTGTGGGGAGGGGCTGTTCCAGAAGCAGGACCTGCTGCTGCTCGAGCTCCCCCAACTCTGTGCAGTGTGGAAGGAGTTCCCAGGCTCCAGTCACGTGTGGAAAGGGCCCCGGGGTCTCATTGGCTCAGGCTCCGGGAAGGCGGGCAGAGCAAGCAGGCGACCGATGAGGACCGACCATGAAGTTCTGCCCTGTGCATGCGCTGTGGTGTCCTGCCCTGGCGTTCTGCTTTGGGAGCCACGTGCAGTGGTTGGCCGCCAGGTAGGCTGCCACTGTGGGGTGCCATCGCACTCACCCTCGGGGCTCAGCCGACCGCTGCGTCCATATGTGCAACAGGACGGGGCAGAGCGCACTGGCCCATATGGTGCGGGGCCCTCGGAGCCTCGAGGCCACCCAGGTCTGCCCCCCCCCCCCCGGAGGTCGGGCGCCCAGCGAAGGCGCGCAGCTTACGGGCTTCTCTTCCGCAGACAGGACCACACCAGCCACAGCCATGTGCCCCCCGGCTCCGGGCAGCCTGCTCCTGGCCTGCAGCCTCTCTCTGGTGCCCCTCGTCGCAGGTGAGCTAGCGCTTCGTGCAGTGTCCAGATCCCCAGCTCTCGCCCCTTCCCAGCGTCCCCCTTCCCTTCTGCGTTCGCACGCCCACCCCAGGCCTGCTTTCTCTCTCTTCTGCCCATCCTGCATTCCAGCCCTACCCCTTCATTTCTACCCGCACTTTCCTGAATTCCCACATCTTGGCCTCAATCTCTCTTCCCCCATGCACTACCAACTACAGTATCCCCTGTATTCCCAGCTGCATTTCCCCTTCAGTGCCATCTTCCTTAGTCTGGTGCTGTGTTCTGCGTGGTACCTGCAGTTAAGGAGTTGACACAGAGTCTGACATCAAAATGCTCCCAGCCTAGTGAGTGTGATGGGGACAGACCCGCCTGTGGCCTCCAGATCAGCCAGTGCTGACCTCCGGATGTGTAGATAAGGCCATCGGAACAGTTGACACCTGCCTCTTGGAGTGGCAAAGAATGTGTGAGCTGGTGAAGCTGCAGGCCCAATGCCTGGCACTCAAGAAGCTCTCATTAAAGAGTAGCTTTGTGTTGTGGTGGGTTTTTTTTTTTTTTTTCTTTTGTTTTGTTTTTGTTCCCCTTCCCCCCAAAGATGACATGTATGGGGAAGGAAGGATCAGCTGAAATGTTTATCATTGAATTTGGTTTACGGGTAAGGGGTATTTGGGAACATTTAACTATCCCTGGGTTCACTTGTGCCCAGGTCTTTTTTTTTTTTTTTTTTGTACTGGGGATTGAACCCAGGGATACTTAACCACTGAGCAGCATCCCCAAACTTTTGTTTTTGTTTTGTTTTATATTTTGAGACAGGGCCTTGCTAAGTTGCTAAGGCTGGCTTTGAACTTATGATCCTCCTGCCTTAGCCTCCCCACCCACTGGGATTACAGGTGTGTACCACCACACCCATAGTGCCCATATCATTTTCATATTCCCCATTATTCCCAGGTCCTCTCAGGCCAGCCTCCACCATCACCTTGTTAGTCCACCATTTCAGGGATCGGAGGCTGTTGACTGCCAATCCCACCAACTCATGCTTTTCCTTTTGCCTTCAGCCTCTTAACTGCTCTTCTTCCTGACTGAAAATAGACTCTTCATCACCTGCTCTTTCTACCCACCCCATACTATTGGACCAGACATGACAGCAGAAACACTGTCACTTAGTAGGAATTTCTTATGAGACAGTTTAATGTTAGATTCAGAAAGGAAGACTGACATGTTCAAGAGAGGCATGGAATAGGATCAGCCTTCAGACCAAGAAGTTTGTTAGAGCCCATAGTACAGAGGGGTCTTGAAGTAAAGCTTCAGCCAGCCCAGGAAAAGCTGGTGTTCTTTAAAG